CCCTCTGTAGAGTTTTCAAGGTTCAACGGCCCACGAGTCTCTATCGTCACGCTATAGAATTGAAAAAAAAGTACGCAAATGCAGCGATGTATTGCGCCCGCCGGCAGAAAAAGCGATCGTGGAAAAAAAACCTTATCGCAGGGACGAACCTTTTTTCACGCCACCGCCATTTACGAGCGGAGTCATTTGCGTCGTTTCATAAAAAGCGATTCGAGTTTCTCGCATTGGGTCACCTCGGATCGTTCGTGAAAATACGCGAGACGTTACCCGACTCTCAGAGAAAATTCTTCTCGTCGGGAGAAAAACTTTGTTCATCACAAAGAGCGAAAAGGATTCGGGAGAAAAATAACAGGGATAAAAAAATGAAGGGGAGAGAAGTGTAGAGGGTGAATGCGCAATTCTTAAAGATGTACAAAAGCTCACCCTCTTTTATCAAAATTGCTCGTTCTCCAGATCAAATCGATTCTAATTCTGAAGCACTGAACACGTTAATTTATAGAAGAATATTGTACTTGTATATTTCTGCTATCCGTTACTTTTTTGTTACAGATATTGTGTAGTCTAACAACTAACATTATTGTTAATCATTTTAATAATAGCATGTTTTTTCTTACTGTACAAGTAAACTTTTTTTTTTCTTTATTATGCAATTGAAACTTTCGGACTCTAACCTGTCCTTGACCAGACAACAACCGGTCCTAAAACGTATATAATTTTTTTCCGTGGACATTCTTGCACAGTTCTATTTCGAGATTACGAGTTGCGTGGGTGTTGAAGAGTTGGGCTTTAAATCGCAACGTAGAACCGCGTAAGAAACACGAAATGTTGACGTTATTTTATATAGAAATCACACGTGATTTTATTTTAGAACCCTGCTTTATATATATATATATATATATATATATATATATATATATATATATATATATATTTCAATAAGCTGTAAATTATTTTATGCGAAATGATATAACATGTTGAATAAGTGCAAGATGCAAATATTCTTCGTATGCAAATTTCCAAGAATATATTCTATTCTGCCTGACAGACAAATAAAATATTTATGTATACTGTTTAAATTGAATGCAATTTAAATTGATTTTCGTTTCAATTTATATCCATATTTCTTCGAAATTTAAAACTTCAGAGAACTGAGCTTACTCTGTGCTTTCAAAATAAACGGTTCACATATCAGTCAAGGTTTTACTGAGAGAACGAGATTTCAACTTGTCGATACTGTAACGGAGGATCTGATAATGTCGCGCAATGTCGAACGTCGGGTGAGAGAGAAAGAGAGAGAAAGAGAGAGAATGACGTCAGCTGAAGTTACTTATCCCTGAATTTATTGATTTATCGTATTGCAGAATGAAGATTCTTGCGAATTTTCGCGCTCCAGTAAGCCGTTTCGACCTGCGGCTTTGATTTTCACGGTCGCCTACTCATTCCGATAACTCGGTGCACGCCGGATATAACTTCGTAGCAACGCAAGCACGGTGTATATTGCTTATCAGAGGAGAGACTGAGGTCTCCCGAAAATGGATGCAATCCCAGTGACGTACTGCTAGCGTTCCGCTAGCATTTAACGCCGCGATCTTCCATCGTGGATACATGGACCGAGTCCGAATCTAATATTATGTTTTACTTCCTCTTGGCCTCAGTTTGCTTCGCTTCCGCTCCCCTTTCCCTCCTTTCCTACCTTTCATTTCGTCTAGGTCTCCCTATGTACATAAGACAACACCCGCTAGTAGTCATCAGCACACAAGTTCGATGTTTACTGGTTACGGTGCAACGGACCGATGATGCAGCGCATGCATTCGCGCAACCGTTAAAAAGCGCGTCTGACCGCAATGCGTATATTTCGTTTGAGCGAGTGATAATATGTGATAATATAAGTGATAATATATTGTCTTTACAAGTAGGCTCTCTTGTTTTATCGCTTGCGTTTATGTGTTTTTAATCAAATTTAACTTGAAAGATTGGAAGAAAGTTTCAATACGAATTTCACCGTTCTCTTTAAATTTTATCGTACAAGACTGTTTATCATAAATACATTGTCTAATATTTTAATCATTGGCTCGTACTTTTCACAGATTAAAAAAAATTACTTTTATTAAGTTACGTGTTTGTATCACGTACTGCCGATCATTTTCAATCAAACTAAAAGCTTGAAAACTACGAAGCATAAACCATTCAGATCGATGTATAAAGGGTTGAGAGATTTAAAGGGTTCACTTTTTGCGGCGTGCGACTTTAGTGGGTGCCGGACGGTGAAAAAGCTCTGGAAAAGCCCACGTAACCGCAATGCGGACGTTTCACGGGCCTACGAGCGTCGAAGTTCGATAAAGAGCGCCGCCAGCAGCGGCGCAATAAAATTCACTGATTTAAAGGGCCTGGAATTTTACTTCCAGATACAACGTCGATCGATCGCGCCGCGGAAAGTCTCCTGATTCGATTACGCACGAGTGCGCAATGCGAAAACACCGGCGACGCGCTATTCTCCGCGATCTTCACCAGCAATGTGCGGCGTTCCGATTTTATTCTCCGAGCTAAACAATTTATTACCGCTCGTGAATAAACTAATTTTCCCTACCGAAAACTCGTCGCTCTCGTGCTAACTTTACGTCGTGCGGGAAAACATTTCTCTCGTACTCTCCATTCCTCGGTTTCGAGTTCATCACTCACTCTGGGATACACTGGACGTCTCGCAGCTTGAAAAAAAACAAGTTTTTTTATCTTTCCCGACGGACATGGAGAGAGAGAGAGAGAGAAGAAAAAGTCGGCCAGGATTTTCGACCATAACGTCGTATCGTTATCCGCTGCGATTCGACTCGAAAAAGCGAGTCGTCGCGCGTAGGGAAAAAAAATATCACGCGATAGTCGCGCCGTTTCCGTCCTCGTCCATTAGCTCACTTGATTCTCCGGCTCGTTCCCCCTTTCGCAGCTCGCCCCGCTTCCATTATCGTTGCATGCCAAGAGCCCCCGCGGAAAATAGGAGTTTGATTGGAACAGAGGGAATTGCAATCGGAATCCTACGGCGGCCGCCTCTCGCTCGACTACAACCATGACTACGATGGCAACGACAATGACGACGACGACAACGACGACGACGACGACGACGGCAGCGTCGGCGGCGGCGGGGACGACTGGGATGACGACTTTGCTCGTAAATAACATTTGCTTCCTCGCGTACGAACGAAGTTACGACCGCGGAACTTTGCACAGCGAGAAAGGAAACGGTGGACGCGGAGCGAGGGTCGAAGACAGAGAATGCAAAGGACCGAGGCGCGGAGCGGGACGAAACGGAAGAGCGACGCGTTGCAAACAGACGACGATTTACAAAGCATCGGGTTCTTCGCGAGAGGAAGAGAAAGAGAGAGAAGACACGCTCAACGAGGAAACAGAGACAAAAAGCACGCGACGCGGCGCGACGATTTATCGTGCTGCCGCATCATGGATCGCGATGCGTATGGATTTCCAGCGTGGCGGGTAAATACTCGGACGGATAAAGGATCTCATGTGATCTATGAAGGGATGTCGTCCCAGGTCGAATGACGAAAAACCTGTGGCAGAGGTAGAGGCGCGAGTTGCATGGAAATGACGCCCGTTGCGATCCAATCGGTATCACTAGTAATGCAAACGGCAGATATGGAAGAGAAAAAGAAGGGAGGGTGGATTCTGGGCATTTTTCTTCAGAAGTTATTCTCTATCTATATTAAAAAGAATTGTAAATTCGGAAAAATACTTGTAAGTAATGATTTGAATTAATTAAATTCATTAAATAATTAAATAAAAAGTAAATATTATAATATATAATAAGCACATAAAAAACAGATGAATGAATAGATGATAAAACATTCAAAAGTCGAAAAAAATAAACGGTGAAAAATATATGCGATTAACAATATAATAAAGATAGCAATATTTTATTGTTTTTTAAGATGTATTAAAGATCGTACATATTTAAAATGTTAATATTTGATCAAATTAATGTGAGCAGATCTCTAGTTTAATTAAGATATATCGTAATAATACTTAATAATAGAATTAAAAGACGGAACAAGAACAAGAGCGAATACACACAGCTGGACAGATGCGCGCAAACCAAACGATGATTTACAAAGCTGCGATGGCTGCACGGCGAGCAATCGGCACGCGGTAAAGATAGAAATAAAAAAAGCTGTGTTGCACGTAGCACGATTTATCGCATGGCGTTATGTTGGATCGTGGACCCACAGTGAATTTACGCAGTGCGCTAGGTAAAATCGATGAAGTCATTGCAAAAATATCGTCAAGTTCATCTAGAAAAATTGATGAGATGGGAATAAATTGACTAACAAGTTTTTTTTGCAAAGCAAAGATTTATTCAATTTTACTTTTGAAACAAAACTAAAATTGAATATCTTTCTCTGTCTATATATATTTAAATATTCTATACTTCTATATTTAAAATTATCAAAAAATATTCTTACTTAATTTTACATTGACATAAAATTTGTATCATTATCTTATTTTTATAAAATACCACAGTTACTATTTGATGTACGTGATGAGAGAGAATACGAAGCTTAAAAATCATCACTATCTGGACGTGGAACCGCTTCGGTGTTTAGTCGAGTGGCGTTGCAGAGATAGAGAAGAAAATAGAAAACTAAAAGAAGCGCGACACGAATTTTTTATACACAATGATACACAAAAGCATTTATCGGATTATCGAGTGCATGATACATTAGTTTATTCCGGACGTTTGCTTCATGAATCGTTCCCGTTCCCGTAAATATTAAAGCTATCTAAGCTATTTTAATTGATTCTCTGTAACCTTTGCAGTTTTAAAACATTAACTTATTTAGAATATTTAGCGAATAAATATCGCATTTTTTACGAATTTTGATAATGCCGAGAAGAAATATTAAACGATTACAATTGTAATTGTATTTATATTGTGTTTTAAATTTTACAAGTGCTGTGAATGGTGAAGAATAATGGTGATATGATGTGCTTTACAGATCGCTGGACGTAAACATCGAGGGACTTGCCGAATAAAAATATCTTGGACAGTTATGCGAATTTGAAGCCGCGCGAGTCATCGAATGACAACAGTTTATGTATACGTAAATTTCGGGAGTGTCGTAAAAGTTATCGGGCGAAATTACGTCGTGTTACGTTGTATTTTAATATGAGTTTCGCGAGTGATAATAAATACGATATACTCAATAGATTGTCGTACGTGAATATCGTTGAAAGTGCTGCATAAAAACTAAATTTTAAATACTGCGAATCTGTTTTAAATACCGCGAGTGCCATGAATGATACCGATTGATCATCGATGGAAAATCGAAGCTTTGGACTGAAAATGGAATGGATCAACCGATGGGAAAAAAGTAGCGGAACGACGATCGGTGAGTCTATGCAATAATTATATAGATTGTTGAAATTATCGACACATTGTGTATTAAATTTAATTCATTTGTGAAACGATTCGAGATGATTAGAATAATAATTATTATGATCTTGTTTTTTGTGGAATATATTAATAATACGAAAATACTTACTAATAATATAATTAACAAATTCTGTTTAAATATATATCAAAAGCGAGATGTATGTTTTTCATATTACTCCACGACGTTATTTTATTTATTTGAAAATATTAGTATAAAAATTAACGAATTATTCAACACATTAAATTTTTTATTTTATTAAAAATGCACAGACTTTATTCTTACGATTTCTAAAACATAGATTATGTATATAAAGAAAATACATTATAAAATTGTTATTGTTGAATGTTCACCGTTGACATAAGTGTAGTCAATTTGATCAAATTAATAGTAACGAAGTAAACTTCAATCGACCATAATCGGATAATTGAGAAATCGGATAATTAATGCTATTAATATGATATCATTTTAACTTGTTCAATTCATAGTATTATAGATTTTGAATAATATTGTAATTATATAGAAAATGCAAATGCACAATTTTTCACGTACGGTCATAAGCTGAGAGAAAAAAAGATTTTATAAGTAAATTGTTTTCCAAAAAGTTTTCAAATATATCATACATATTTAAAGAATAATTAATACAGAAATTAGATATCTTATTTGACAATATCCGACAATTATCTACTGATAAGTAATCTTATATATTAAAATTTTGTCTTGAATTTTTACTTTATTTGTTGGCCATTATATTTAAACGTGTTTTTTACTTTAAATACATATAGATTTTATGGTGTAAAAATTTAGTTATTGAGATCAAATGAAGCTTGTATACATTTTATTATTATTAAAGATATATCGGAACACATATACGTGATATACCCACGAAATTTTAAGAAGGTGTGAGTTTTTAAATTCCGCGAAAGATCGTCTGGTTGAGGAGCAGTTGCGCGCGCTATGATTAAAGCAGGTCCACATTATCGAGCTGAGCTTCGAATCGAGTCTCCAGCTGAATCCAAGTCCCCTCGCGAATGCGCATTTAAATTTCCATCAAGGTTTGGCTCAGCTCGATAATGTGGATTCTGTTCTAGAAGGGCCTTCAGCGGTGCACGCTACTACGGCACGATAAAAGACAGAAACGAAGTCCCGGAACACGTAATAAGATTTATCGTGTTCTTAGATCGTGGATCACGATACACGTGGATTTACAGTTCGCGGCGCGTCGCGTACGTAAACACGAAAATCGATGAACCGAACTACGGCGAAGATACAGCGAGGCAGGCGCTCGAAAATCGATGAACGACATCGAGAATATCGGAAAGCATGCTTGAGCGAAAATATTGGGAGCGAAGCGAAAAGGCAAACGAGAAATAAAGGATATCTCAGTGGGAGGTAGCGTATTCGTCGGGAGACGATTTTTGGAGTGTAAATCGGTTTTAGCTTATTCTTGTGTAAGATGCGAAGAAAATCTTTCGGTTCAATAAAAAATTTGATTTAAAAAAAAAAGAGTTAAATTTTTAGTACGATATTATTATCTTGTGTCTTTATCAGAAATATGGTACAATTTAAAGTACGTAATTGAGTTATATTAAAACAATAATTATTTAAAACTGTTTCATGTGGTTGTAAATATAAATTAGAAACTGTAGGAACTATAGATTTGGAGTTTAACAACTCAAATTCTACATTTACTGAATTTTAGCACCAAAATTCAAATTAATATAAGAAAAAGCAAACTCGATTTGAGTATAAAGGGGGAAGAAAGATCGTAAAATTGGATTGCAATGGTGTGGCGATTTTCATACAACCATTCTAACGTACACCTTATATGAGATCGTAAAAGACATTTTCGAATGGAACATGCTCCGCGGAAGATGTCCGAGCATTAAGATATTATTCACGGTGTTCGGGGCTTGGGTCGTGGATTACCATGTATCCGTTTATAGGATATTCCGTGCGGGTGAGTTCAAAAATCGATAAAGAGTGCGAGGAACATTGGAAGGGTCGCTGGAACGGAGAACGTAGGGTAGGCGATAGTCTAGGAGACCGTGTCTTTCACATATAGAGAGGAAAAGTTGCTGCGCGAGAGAGAGACACCGTATTTGTATTTTAACAATTCGGGCACGTCAGTGATGCGAAATTTCCACGATCCAATATCATTTAAATAAAATTTTCCGGTGCTCTTTTTTCCTCGCCAAAAATTGTTAATGTGAGCGTATTAGAATAAGCGAGAGAGATACATGTGGAACCGAAATTCATGCAATTACAAACAATTTCTTCCAATCGCATTGGAATAACGTGAAAATGAGGGAATCTCAATTTGGAAGTTACAAGATTGGATATCAGCATATTTATGTGTCGAGAAAACGGAGTACGAATATCGACAGCGCGCTGCAGAGACCATTGAGTGAGGATATGGAAACGCACCAGTGGAAACGGCCGTGTCTTTCTGAGAGAAGGGCAGCAGGGGTGAAGAAGAGGAGGGAAAGGGATGAGAGAGAGAGAGAGAGAGAGAGAAAGGAAATAGGGATGAGAGAAAAGAAGAGAAAGAGAGAAGAACAGCCGGGGGCAAGAGAATAGCGGGAAAGGGACGGGAGCTAGCACGCATTTCCACCATTTATACACACGTATCCGGGGGTACGGCGGCAGCAACGGCGGCGGCGGCGGCGGCGGTGGCGGCGGCGGCGGCGGCTATCTCGTCGATATTTCGGTTTTCCCCATTCCCGGGGTCTCTGCCCTCTTCCACCAATGGAACCCCTCGCTCCCTTCCTCGACCCTCCTGCCTGCCTACTACCCCTGGCGAAACGGCTCGACGGACTCTCGCCGTTGTACTTTCGGACAGGGCTTAATCACCGTAGAGGGTTCCCCGCCGTATTTGCTGCTGACGAGAAAGGATCCGGTCTTTATCTCGCGCGGTGCACGTTGCCGCCATTGCCGAGATTATTCCGCTCCTCCCTTCCGGCGATTCCGTTAATTCCGTTGTGGAATTACGACGACGGCGATGTGCGCGCGCGGTTGCGGAATTGGCCGAGAGAGCGACCGTCTTGACCGCTCTCGGACGGTCCGGTAATTAACCCTTCGCACTCGTCTGCATCTCTCTATTCGCAGCGATGTGAAGAAAGTCACCACAGTCCTAATCCGCCGTGTTTATAGTCGGTTAAGCCCGAATATAGTCATCACCATGAACACTGCAATTTATCTGCATTAATCCAAAGTCGAATTATTTTAAAAAGATGAGGATTTAAATTAAAAAAACACAATTTAGCGATTCTGTATTAATTATTGTCTAAAATAGCGTCCAAATAAATAAATATACTCCTTATTTTCGGGATTTCGAATTAAAAAGTCGTGTGCGTATATAAATATATGTGCAAGTTGCAAAAAATTTGGATTTGTTCTAGATTTATCACTGCCGGAAACTTTAGAAACTCTATGAATTTATTTTACATTTCTCCTAAAATTTGTTCTCCGGAAATTTCCGCGATTTTTTCCCGCAATCGCGCAAATCATTGTCGAGAGTTCTGAAATCTGGCGATTCACGAGATGAACATCACAACTGCGGCCCGCGTATTTCCAATAGAACATTCCTCCTTCCCTCGCACTCGCATATATATTCTCTTCTTCTGTGGGAGTTTCTCTTGCGCCGTAATTATCTCTGCTCTGCCCTTTGTGCGATAGCAGCACGTCGCATTTCGTCCGCCGCGACCGAAGAAGTGCGTGTGTGTGCGTGTGGCGTTGTAACGGCATATTTATCGCTTCCGGATGCGCGTTGCCTGTGACGTCTACGAACATATCAAACCCTATGTGTGTGCTCCACCTGCCTCGCATTTGCTCCGTCCCTTCTTTCATTTCGTTTCTGCTGCAAGAATCTGGGGTAAAAAGTTTCACCGAGCTCGGTACATATAGGGACTTGCGTCACATGCAATTAGGAGTGAAAAAATATCAAAAGAGTCTGAATTAATATTGATTACTCGTTTGAAGAATTTTATTGACGTACAATTATCCGCGATAATATATTCGCGTAAATTGATACTTTACACGCAATCAAACATCTTGAAAACAAATCGTGAAGCGAAACAGATAAGAAATTAAAATGCGAGAACGTGAAATTTTATCAATTTTGAAATTTTTAATTATTGCACACTGAGGGATGACATTTACGATACACGTGCATTTTTTACTTACACTAGAGTTCGTGCTTTCTATTTGATTCGCTTTCGTTTGGTTTCTCTTTCATTCGCTCGGCTTTCGCGGTGATTCCAAACGCAATGTGCAATTCCAGCCTCGCGCTCACGGATGCCTCCAACCATTCCTTTTGTATATAGCTTAGTATTCTGCGGCTACGCCAATGATTCGCTATGTGCAGAAACCTCCAGGCGAAGTCTGCTTCCTAGAATATTGCACGTGTCTCTGGTAAATTGCATATTAAATATGACAATGGAAAGAAATTTTATTTCCTTTTTTTATCACAACTCGTCAATATAAACATAAATTGGCTTCGCAAAAGCAATATAACACAGACACGATTACATTATGTAAATGCGATAACATAGAAATTAAAAAAAAAAATGCTTGACATCAAGAATCTCACGTGAAAAGGAATTGTTCAAAATTATTTGCACTGTCAGAGAATGAATAAATTTGGCTAAAACGTAACAAATTGCAAAATCCAGAAGAGGATCTTGCGCCATATAAAAGAAAGAAAAGAAAGAGCAAATCTCTCCTGACAGATACATGCGGTCTCTGACGCATCAATCATTTCGGCTTTTTGCTCTCGCTAGCGATTTCTCCGCGATTTAAGCATTCCGCCGACGCGTCTGCCCCCCTTCTTTCTGCCATTCGATACGTGCACGGCCGCGTGCCATTGTCGACTACTACACATCGCCGTTTCTGCCCGATATCCGTTTCCCGAATATTTCGCTCCTTCTACCCGCACCCCCACGAGCCGCTCCGGGCTG